CTCTCCCTCTCCCTCCCTCTCTCCTGTGTTGCTAGGGGTTGAACCCAGCACCTTGTACATGTGGGCTGGCAGTTTTCTGCTGCCATACCTCCAGACCAGTATTCAGTCACATATGTGGGTCCTGGGGATTGAACTCAGGTTGTCCGGCTTAGCAGCAAGTGTCTTTATTCACTGGCCATCTTGCCATCCCAAGTAAAATTTCAAAGGTGAAGCTTGCATGTACTTCTTGTGTTAGTCCATTTAGGTTTCTTTTTTATTTCCATACTTCTGGTGGGGGCAGGGTAGAAAGTCCAAGGTGAGTCAGTGGATTTGTTGTTTAGTGAGGGCATCTTCTGGAACATAGACTGCATATTCTAGGCGTGTCTCTTCACATGACAGACTGAGAAGACAACAGCACCCTCTCTTAAAGTCTGTGTGTGTGTGTGTGTGTGTGTGTGAGTGTGTGTGTGTGTGTGTGTGTGTGTGAGTGTGTGTGTGTGTGTGTGTGTGTGAGTGTGTGTGTGTGTGTGTATTTCATGGCACTTGTGTAAAGGTCAGAGGACAACTTTTCAGGAGTTGGTTCTCTCCTTCCGCCTTGCTATGATGCAGGATTTCTCTTGTTTCACTCTTCCACTATGTGTTCTAGGCTGGCTGGCCTGTAAGCTTCTGGCTCATTCTCCTGTCTGAATGGCCCATCTTGCTGTAGGACTGCCAGGATTACAGATGTTGCCACCTCATCCAGATTCCTATCACAGCTTCTGGCGCTTGAACTCAGTTCATCAATCAGACCCCACACTTCTTTTCTGAGCTGCCTAAACTCATCCAGGTGATATCTACGATAAAGTTCATCACCCTTAGCATTATCAACTGGTGATTAAGTTTTGTACATGAAGGGAGGGACACACATCTGGAAAGCATCTCTCTGCCCAGAGATGAGAGGATCCAAAGAGTCCCCCAAGCAGAGTGAGGTCTCAAGAGGCAAGAGTCATAAAGAGCCTCAGAAGGGGACTTAAGTGAGGGGCCGGTGACAGTTGACACTTGTTGAGAGTGATGATGCTATAGACAGGTGAGAGTGAAGAGGTGGGGTTGGCATAGAAAGGCCATTATCTAAAAGAGAGAAAACTCATGGACTTCATGAAGCATCGCAAAGCCACCACCAGTGTCCTTGCCCTGCTTGTGTTTAATCCCTATTTCTACCTTCGGTTGTGAAGAATCTGGTGGCGTTTTCTAGAAGGCAACACCAAACCTATTGTTTCTTCGGCACATTGATACCTCTGTACCCCTAACACCCCCTACATCCCGTCATCCTGCAGCAGCTGGAAGCATGCCAGACTGTTCATACTCCTTTAACAGTCACTGACTTTTTTTTTTCTTCAGTGCTGAGACTTGAACCTAGGACCTCAAGTATGGCAGGCAAGGCCTCTACTACGGAGCCACCCATTCCACTCCCCACTGGCATCTTGTAACATATCTGATAGTCATCGAAGTGTATTGCTACCCCCTCCAGTTTGTGCTTACTGTAGAGCACCGGGAGCTGAGAGCATCCTCTGAATAAAAACGCCCTTGTAAACAAAGCTTCTGGTGTAATTGTCAGGGATCACATCTGTAACGGCTATCTTTTCTTCCTTTCTTTCTCTCTCTCTCTGTTGGAGCCCACAGAGGTTTCCTAGTGAGATCTGAGCTTGCTTTACCCAGCAGGACTGCATAAGAGGATGGTTGGACCACGGGCCTGGGTACCAGGTGTTTCATAGGGCCTACACTTGGCTGTATCTAGGGGGGGGTTGCCTCGCCCCTTAGAATTGTTATGCAAAGCCCTTTTGAATAACATTCTGGGCTGATGGATATTGATCCAGGTCCTCCCAAAGCTATCTTGTGTTTCTGTCTTTCCTCTTGTCGATCAGGCCTATCATTCTATCATTCCTACTCCTCTCTCCTCCTTATAGGAACCCTGTAAAAGGTGGGGGCTGGTCCCCCACATCTCTCTCTCTCTTTCTCTCTTTCTTTCTGGGAGGCACACATATGAGAGATTTTCTGCTTAGTTTGAAGTGGGTGAATCCACTTCTAGTCTGGACTTTTAATCTGGATCTTGAGGCAGGAAGACACAGGCCTTTAATTTGGATCTTGAGGAGGGAAGACACATGCCTTTAGTCCAAATGTTGAAATGGGAAGACACACCTTTGATCTGGGCTGTACCTTCTGCTGCAAACCGAAGACAGAAGAAAGAGAGGTTTGCTCTTCTCCTGCTTGCCCTCACCTTGCCAGCCCATCCGTTCCTTCACTGGCACCGGAGCCCACTTTTCTGGGATTCCAGCATACACAGAAGACCCGCTGAGACGCCTAGCCTTGTGGGGCTGAGCAACTACGGGGGTCTTGGACTCTTCGTTCACAGCCAGCCATTGTTGGGTTAGTTGGACTGCAGCCTGTAAGTCATTCCAATAAATCCCCCCTTTATACACACACACACACACACACACACACACACACACACACACACACACATTCATTATATAAGTTCTGTGATCTATAGAATCCTGGCTGCTACAACCTATTACTTACCATTCACAATATATAGCAGTTTGATGTGTCATTTTCTACAATCTATTACTGAGATTTTCAGAACTACTGCAGCATATTTCAGAAGACTCCGTTGCTGTAATCCATATTCATAAATGATGGGTTCTCAATCCAGAGCACTTAAGAAACTGTTCTAAATGTATTATATATTTGATTCAATATACTTTAGGTAGTGCTCACCTTGTTGGCTGTCTTGTTTTATATACTCCATCTGACTTACCCACATCTACATTGTGAACCGATGTTCCCAGAAAGAAAAGAAAAAACAACAAACAATGACTATGTTAAAGATTCTAAAAGGGGGTTGGGTATGGTGACACCCCGCCCTTAATCCCAGTATTCAAGAGGCAGAGGCAGGAAGGGTCTCTGTGAGTTCCAGGCCAGGCTGATCTACAGAGCAAGTTCTATCCAGCTAGGGCTACCAAGTCAGATTCTGTTTTAAAAAGAGAGAGAGATTCTAAAAGGGTGATTGACTGACCATTATGTTGTGATGGTACACACTCGGAATGCTGCAAATCTAGACCAAAGTCATTCTGGGCTCTCTATTCCCCTAGCCAGCCATTCATGCCTTTCTCTATCTCTAAACTAACATCCTTTCAATTATCAAGGAAAACCTTTGGAATGTAGCTACTCAGCAAACCGCCAAAGAGCTAAGAACTGCATCGTATGCAATCCGAGACCTAGAACAGAGATTTTCACCTTTGCTGTGATCCGCCTTCCTGCAGTTCCCCATGAATGTCTGGAAAAATACTTTTATTTATGGTTTTGTGTTCTGTAATTTTAATTCCACCCCTTTCATCACCGTAAGAGCTGGACATGGCAGTATGTTTCTGTACCATTGGTACTAGAGGATCAAGGATCCTGCGGGCTCACTGGCCAATCAGTCTAGCCAAAGCAGTGAGCTCCACTCCAGTGAGACCTTCTCTCAGAGAAATGTGTGTGGAGCAATGATAGGTGAAGACACTCGACCTTCCCCTCCATATGCACACATGGGTAAGTACACACACACACACACACACACACACACACACACACACACACACACACACTAAATTGCATGTAACCATTTCTATGCTGAAATGTGGCTATTGGCCAGTGTGGTACACACGCCTTTAATCCCACCACTTGGGAGGCAGAGGCAGGCAGATCTGTATGAGTTCCCAGCCTGGT